CATTCAAGAAAATTCTCAGCAGTCGAGATCAATTATGAGATCCACGATAAAGAACTTCTTGCGATCGTGGATTCCTTTCAAGAATGGCGTCATTATCTAGAAGGCCCTTCTAGTCTAGTCACTGTGTATACAGATCACAAGAACCTCGAATATTTCATGTCAGCACCCGTATTGAATCATCGTCAAGCTGGTTGGAGTATGTCTTTGTCAAGATTCGAGTTCATTATCACTTATCGGCCAGGAAAACAACAAGGTTTTTCCGATGCCCTATCTAGACGTTCTTATTTTACACCAAAAGAAGGAGATGCAGCTTTTGAGCAACAAAGAACGGTCCTCTTGAAACCGGAGCAATTTCATCTCCGAGTAATGAAATCAACATTGATTGTTGATTCAACTTTTCTCAAGCAAATCCAGTCCAGTATGTCCTCAGACCCTCTTGTTCATGATATCGAGAATAATTCTTCCAAGTCTCATGATCCTTCTAAGTTCGAGTTCAAGAATAATCTATTATATTTTGAAGGACGCCTATATGTTCCAGAAGGAGAAGCACGTTTATGTGTTCTTCAAGCACGTCATGACTTTCCAGTAGCAGGGCACTTTGGATATAATAAGACTTTGGAACTCATATCAAGAGATTTTTGGTGGCCACAAATGTGGAAGTCAGTCAAAGACTTTGTACAATCATGTGATATTTGTTCAAGATCAAAAATTCCTCGTCATCGACCTTACGGACTTCTTCAGCCATTACCTATACCAGAACAACCATGGTCTTCTGTTTCTATGGATTTCATCACAGATCTTCCAAGCTCAAGATCTTATGATTCTATATTTGTGATAGTAGATCGTTTCACCAAGATGGCACATTTTGTGCCACGTACAAAATCTATCACAGGTGAAGAAACAGCTAAGCTTTTCATTGATAATATCTATCGCTATCATGGATTACCTAAAGATATCATATCGGATAGGAGAACTCAATTTGTATCAAGATTTTGTAGGACCCTTTTCAAGATTTTAAAAGTGGACATAAAGCTATCTTTGGCTTTCCATCCTCAAATTGTTGGACAAACAGAGCACGTAAACCAAGTCTTGGAGCAATATTTAAGGTGTACTATCAACTACCAACAAGATGATTGGACAATCCTTCTGCCATTGGCAGAGTTTGCTTATAATAATACGGTACATTCTTCCACGCAACAAACACCTTTCTTTGCCAATTATGGCTATCATCCACGACTTGATACTTTTGATTTTTCAAAAGTTGATAATCCTGCAGTAGAAGATATGGCAAATCGGTTGTCAGAGTTACATGCAATCATAAAGACGCAATTGAAGGAAGCTCAAGAACGACAAAAGATAAACGTAGATCTATATCGTAAGGAGCAACTACAACTCAACGTAGGTGATAAGGTATGGCTGCTTCATCGCAATATCAAGACTACTCGACCTTGTGACAAGTTGGACTATCGTAGGCTTGGCCCCTTTTCTGTTTCTGAACAGATCAACCCAGTTGCATATCGGTTACATCTACCGGAGTCAATGAGGATCCATCCTGTATTCCACGTGTCTCTTCTTGAACCATATAAGATAGTGGATATACAAGGAAGAAGACAAATGCCACCGCCTCCTATAGAAGTAGATAATAATGAAGAATTTGAGGTGGAAGAGATATTAGACTCAAGGCGGCGCCGAAATAAGCTGGAATATCTTGTTTATTGGCGCGGATATGATATTAGTGAACGCACATGGGAGCCGTCCAGGAATCTATCAAATGCATCAGCTAAAGTCAAAGTTTTTCATCAACGACATCCATCAAAACCAAGATGAAAATCTCTCTTACAAAAGAGACAAGATTGAGGCAAGATAACATTCAATTTCCTATCCTTGTTTGTAACTTCTTTGCATTTGTGACGCTAATTAGATGGAGAGCCAACAACCAGCGGATTCAACTCAAAAACCTTCGTTTGCTGACCTGCCCGACGAGACATTACGATTGTCACAACCTTCAAGACGACGCAATCGAGATGAAGATCTTCAAGAACGACATGTTCTTTCTCGAATAGATGGTGAGATACAACGCGTTTGGTATCACGATTTGGGAAGGGACTCCCGATGTTTGGTGATTTTGCTAGAAGTAGGAACAACTCCTGATGGTGTTCCAAATATTCTATTCGAAGGAAGTTACGAAGGCCTCAACAATGATCAAATAACTGGATGGTCTTCCCGCCCTGGTATGGGACACTACCGATGGTTGAGAGGCCCTATCAATCATCTTCGAAGAGAACAAAGATCAGAGTATGTGGAGAATACAATTCGTCGCATCATAGATTTCTTCAACATATGATGACCGCTCCTCGTGGAACTCGTCTCTAGAAGGGGGGGTAATGTCACGGCCATAATCATGTAAGTTAATAATTACATATAGAAATAGGTAGAAGTAAGTAAAAGTAGATAAAAGTAAGTTAATTCTATAATATTTAATATAGAAGCTTCCTAGAAACTTCCTAGATGCTGCTTTGACTTCATAGGTGTCTTTAATTGACTTTTTGGATTAGAAACGTGGTCAGCAAGTTGGCCATGTGCCACACATGTTGTTAGCTTGAAAATCAAGCTAACTATATGGCCCACACGTAGAAAAACTTGCCTTGTAAGTCAAGGCATGTGCCCTACAAAGTCAACACCTATTGGAGGTCCTATAGAATGTCGCCACGTAGCTCTTAGTTAGATAGTATATATAGAGACAAGAGTGAAGGCTTCTTCACTCTTGTCAACTCCTTTCTTGCTTCTAGTCTAGTTTCAAGGGTCTCTAGTTTTCTTGTCTTTTGGCAATAGCCATTCCAGTTTTTCTTTCAATATATATATTTGTTTATTTACCTCTCTTTGAGTGAAGGCTCACTTATCTGAATTATTTTTCATCGAGTTCTTGTCCTTGACACTTCTATAGAAAATGTAAATCAAGGATACATGGCCACAACAACTCTTGGAAATAAGAAGGACCAACATTTAAAGTCTTAGACTCAAAAATATGATATTAAAATAAGCCAAATACTACCTAAGTCAAGAACCTACAAAATTGCCTATACTAATATAAGTCGAGACCTACAGACTCAAAAAAGAGCCCTATGCAACAAACAACCTTAATCTCTACAAAATACTATTCCACAATAACAACCAAATTTACCACAAGAACACTCCATCATCTAGCTTCAACAAACACAATCCCAACAAATGGAGCCACCATATTACTTCTTTATAAGAGATACTCCTCCAAGCTCTTCCATTCTATTCTTCTACTAACATCCAAATTGCCAAATGTAGGATCTTTCCAATCTTCTATTCTACAATGAAAGATCTCCAAATCAACTCTATCATAGGATATTAGCAAATTTGAACATGATAGGATACTAACTTGTGGTCTTCTGCCAAGTCTCAATACTTGAAGACCAAATTTAATGGTTCCATGCCCAAGTTAAGACCCTTATATTTATCAAAATAGCAATAATTCTCTTTAAAGTAATTGTAAATAAATACAACAACAAGAATCCTTTACGCAAGTGAGACAATGTAACATGGAGATTTAGCTGAGAAAGAATTAATGAAAGCTAAGCTATTATATATGCGCAACATTTATTTTAATTAAAAAAACCAATCTTAAACTATAAAAACTCAATCAGTACATATAGATATCATTCAACTAGTCCCTTAGAGACTTCATGTCCTCAAACTACATAAGGATGCTACATCCCTTCCAAATATATGCAGAAAACATATTGACATCTCTTCTTAGCAATAACCAATATGACAAAGACCTATCTTCTTTTGCCTTGACAAGAAAAAAAACATAGTACATCTTTTATATGAAACCTAAGAACTTGACTATGAAGATGATTACCTAGCTGAGGAATGTGGAAACTACAAGCCTACACTACTTCTTTTTCCAAATGATGGTAAAAAACTTGCTTTGAATTTCTAAATATTTACTTGCTAGAATAAAGACATTCAAGAAGTATACAAATACACAAAAATCCAAAACTTATTTTGGAAGATATACTTGCAACTAGATATTATCTTCTTATAATAGCAACACTATAATATAAGTGAATGCTTACAACACACAAGTCAACTTCAACTCAAAGGTAGAAAGAGCTTCTAAAACAATGCCTCTTATGTTGTTGATAGAAGTGCCTTCATTTGAAAAATGACCATCACCATTTCACACGAATTGGCTTGTAGAATATTCACCTTTGGAGTCATCATTGAAATATGCATACAATTTTTTATTCTTAATATTAATGGTAGTCCAATGAACATTCTCAATCTCTATGCACCAAATACTACAGGCTACCACGTCTAATTTTGGAATATCCTCTCTCAACATCCCTTCCCTCCAATCCTGTAGATAGTGGCTAGAGATTTCAATATGACATAATTTCAAGGCAACCAAAGCTTGGACTTTAACATACCAAGTATAGAATGTTGAGAACAAAACTCTTTGATCAACTTTGCACTCAAACTTGGCATCACAAACATTCTTTATTTGGACCCATATTGAAGAATCAAGCAAAAACACTTCACATGGCAACAACAAAATTCATCACATAGCTGGTCTAAAATTGATCAATTCTACACCAACTAAAAGCTACACCACCTAGGAGACACACACAAAATATGGCTGCAACTATCCTTCCTTTTAGACCATTTGGCCACCTTCCTATCAATAGCTTTAAATCAATAAGACACAAGAGCCAACTACACCTTTCTAATTTTCATTTGCCATGTTGAGATCTGGTCAGCTTCTGACCGAGTAGGTGACAACAGCCAATTCAACTCTGCCACATGCTAGTCTTAGCAACAATGGAAACAACAGGACTCGTGTCACTCCATAGAAGAAGTGTCTTTTGCATTCTACCTTGGATTGAAATCTATTTGGTTTGAAAGACCTGAAAAAAAAAAACAAAAACAAAAAAAGGTTGAAAAGTGTCCTGACGTGGTTCGTCGAGTTGAAGAGAAGAGAAGTTGACTGCGATATTATGATCCAACTGGATGCAATCGTAGGCATTAAAATACACCGCTCATGGCCATATTTAACCGTATGAACCAAGAAATCTTAAGAATCCCTTTGGATCAGATTACACACTAACAATATACAGTGGGTTAATCTATCTAGAGCCTACTATTTCATACACTAGAGCTGGCATGGGTTACATCCTATCCTGTGAGTCGAGCTGCAGCAATCCTTCAACATTGCTGCAATTCAATTCAATCCGTGGGTCCAGTCAAGTGCTGTATCGATGTTTTTAAAATTAAAAAAAAAAGGGGGGGGGGTGGAGATTCAATGCTGCTAGAGTCCCATCACTGCAGAATAGTCGTCGAATACTGGAGTTTATCGAGTCCCCTTATGCCACTTTCAGCGCATTCAAGTCTGTCTTGTAAGAGTTTGATCTAGCTGGCTGGGACCTTCGGAGCTTCACCTTGTACTGAGCCTCCTTGGCAGGGCCGAACTCAATGATATCCTCCGGGTGAACTCGAGTGGGCATTTTCGGGGTCAATTTGCAGCGACCACCACTGATACTCGTAATCCACGTGCCAGTCTTGCTGTCTAGGTCCGTAACAAACAGGGCGCCGTCTTTGAACACAAGTTTGGCATGCTGTGGTGCAACTTCGGGTTCCGTCACAGCCCGGAACTCGCCAAGCTCTATTTCGCATGATTCGCATCCAACAATGGTTGGCTTGGAATCCTCCCGGCACAGACGCAGCAGAGGCCTTCCGCTTTCGGTCACGTCACCGTCGATCGGCATTCTTTCTGAGGCCGGGACAAGGTACCAGTCTGCATTGGTGGCTCTCTCCAGGGCATCATCGTTCCAGAACCATTTCTTCAAATTCGAGTCTGCCTTGTCTTCGAGGCTGCAGTACGGAGCACGACCCTCCAGTGCAAAACTGTTACCACCCAGAATCCAACTGAGCATTGTTGGCATGCCGATGGTAATGAAGAAACGGCCTCCCACTCGACCTGGGTGCGGGATTTTGAGCTGCTTGATGAATGACAGGGGACCGAGGCCTTCCCCGAGATACGGCTTGTATGTGGTAGCCATGATGGCAGCCATCCGCGCCAGCCCGTGGATCACTCCGACACGTATTCTTCTCTTCCCCTCGTACGTTTTCAAAACACCCTGCAAGTCGGCAGAAGGTTGCTTCGCAGCTTTCGATAAATCCAAAGCAAGTTGGAAGCCGTCCTCGATAGCCATACAACCACCTTGACCAAGATTTGGCTGCATAGCGTGCGCGGAATCACCAAGCAGCGTTACTCTGCCTTTACTCCACGTCAGGATTGGAATACGATCATAAATATCACGGCGCAGAATCTGTTCCTCCGGAGTTGCCAGTAGGAGATCCACCACCTTGTCACACCATCCCCCGAACAACGACATCAACCTTGCCTTCCTTCCGCCTGGGGCGTCTACCCCGCCCGCAGGTTCATTGTAGAACGCATACCACTGCATCTTCCCTTGCCCAACGTCCGAAGAAACAAAGTACTGTTTGTGGCCGAGGAAGACGCGGTACCCAACGGTGTCGATATCAGCGGGCACAAAATCAGCAATCCCCGTGTAGCAGGTGTAATCAGAATACACGGTCGACGACTCACCTAGCAATTTCGTTCGCACCTTGGAGCGAATGCCATCAGCGCCGACGAGGATGTCCCCTTCAAATGTCCGTCCATCCTCCAGCACGACTTCCACTTTGTTCCCGTCGTCCACAAAATCTACCACATTAGAGCCATTCTGTATGTACTCTGATCCCAATGCACCGGAAAGAATTTCCTGGAGTTTCATCCGACTGATCACTCGAGTGACTGGCAAGCCTCGCTCTGCTGCGGGTGAGAAAGTATCGAACTTGCAGTACCACTCTCCGGTAATTCCATCCACGAGGCCATTGATACGGTCACCTGTGACGCATCCGTTTGCCATTATCTCTTCGGCAGCCTGCCGATCTACTGCCTCCAACGCCGCGAGTGCATTACTTTGAATTTGAATGGGGCCTCGGTATTGGCCTTCCCCTCGGATAGCACTCAAATCCCTCTCGAAAACAACCACGTCCAAACCTCTGTTCTTCGCGGCAAGTGCAAAAACAAGTCCACCGATACCACCGCCTGCCACGAGCACTCGCAGAGGCCGCGTCCGTGGAGGTGACACGTTTTTCTCTTCAGATGTGCTCACGCGCCCATTCCCTGGCGTCTGTATTCCAACATCCTTGACATCTTGAACTGCTGGTGTCCTTGCTACGCAAACACCAATTCTCCTTCTCGATTCTGCTGATGTGGTGTTGAGGGCTACCCTCCTCCACGAGGTATCGACAAATTCTGAGGTTAGGCATCCCGAACCTGATGCAAAAGCCTTCGGAAGCATGGTGGAGGAAAACAATCCCCCAACCACAGGATTCGCACAACTAATCACCATGTTTCCTTACTACTAGAACAGAGCTTTCCGTCCAGGAAAGCCTGCTCTGCTCTCCGACTTTAGAGTAATTCCCCCTCAAAACTATGATTCGAATTCAAGATGTCAAATTCCCAGCGGTAGTGACCAGCAATGACGAGACGATATCTTGTTCCAGCCTAGCTGACCCTGATTCAAGCTGCAGGAAGGCGATTGGTAAGCGAAACAAATACACCATGTTCGCCGGAAAAAAATTCAAGACATGCGGAGTATGAAGAGGATTGGAGCGTTTTCTTAAAGGATTTCTAGTCCACAGGGTACATGTATCAGGGCAATCTGCAGCGAGAGGTTACAAACTTGCCCAATCCTGCATCACTAAATGCAAACAATTGGTTGGGAACCTACTCTTCATAAGAATAAGTCTCCTGGTCGACGGAAGAGTTGGACCCTAACAGCAGATGGTGGAGAGTATGCATGCTACCTATTACACTGAGAATAATTTAGTGAAGTCTGCTGATGCACACAGCGACTTGGGGACCAAGAAATCCATTCCTCAGATTATCCGAAACCTACAATGTCAGCTTAACGTAGTGTGCACGAGAGGGAAGCCGCAGACCCGGTAGAGAAGTCTTCACAAATCAAAGTGGATATCCGAAAACCTCTTTCCATGGCACTTGCCCAGGCCAAACACATTGACTTTCCAATGACGAAAATTAGCTCTACAATAGTGGGTAATCGTCCCAACAATTCAGTGCTATACACCAACAGAAGCTACCTTTCAGAAGAATCCCACAAAACCAAAGAATCAACATAACAAAAGAATAGCCAGCAAGAATACTTCAAGAAGCCTGACTTACCGGATCCGAGTGCACAACTGGGATTCTTCTTATGAATTCGAAACCGAAACTCCCCTCCAGCTCCTATTGCGTCACCCTTCCGAATGGTTTGTATCCGATCAAGTCTGAGGCACTTCAAACCTAGCTGCGAGGACCCAAGTATAAAACGGTCACAAAGTGTGACAAGCACCACCCTCGCAATTCTCAATCCTCGAAATTCAACCTCCTCCTGATTTTCCGATAATACCCAGCTATCGACCTCCACACTTTTAACCACACTCGAGCGGGTACAGGAAATTTTTCCCCCGAAAAAAGGAAGGCCTCAGATTGAACACAGACTCCTGCTCCGAATCTATAAAACCCACCGCCCTAATGCTCCCCACAAGTGCACCGAGTTGGGCCGCAGAAAATCAGATGGAATGAAGGGGGGCAGACAAGCCACGGGGAGATATTTGTGGCAAATGCGAGGTGGTTCTGAGGTCCACATACTCTGGAGAGAGAAAGGGGAGACAGTGGCCATGAGTGATACGACACGAAGCAGTGGCGAAGATGCTCACCCTCAGAATCTCCCTCTCGCTCGCCCGCGCTCTGCCTTTACTCCAGCTAGGTGATTGGCACCGGCAGATTTGAGGTCTCCATTGGTCCGCTTTTTTATCCAATTCCTTCCCTGCTCAGGAGCCCCGCCTCCCCCCTCGCGACGCTCCTCACCGCCTGCAAGCGGGCCGCGACGGCGGCAGCAGAGATAACGCCTCTGTCGCCCGCGGCGGGATTTCGAAAATTTTCAGCTCCCGGGTTTGTGCCGCTTCTGCCCGTCCTCGGTTGAGACGCTGCCCGTGGATTCGGAATGCCGTTTCGCGGAGTTTCAAATCTTTAATATACTTAATACAATACGTACATGTAATCCATGTCAGCATCGAAGCCCCGATGTTTTCTTTGAGAATAATATTTTACATTGGAAAATATTTGAAGTAGAATATTAATTTTCCATTTTCAAAAGAAAAGTACCAATATTAGAAATTAACTTTTTTACACAAAAAACTATTTAAAATTTTGTTATAAGTTTATCTAAAGTATTAATTTTTAATGTAGACATATATATATATATATATATATATATATATACATATATAATAAAGGTTCTTTTTTCATTTCCATTCCTAATATTTAGTTTTTGAAAAAAAAAAGTAGCATGTGTATGTATATATTGTTATTTTAATTTTTTATATTAAAATTAAATAAACATATTTTTGTAATTTTTTTAAATTTTTTTTGTATAGTAATTCACTATGGTTTATAGTATAATAATAGTAGCATTTGAGCTTGCAATTATAATTGCAATACTCTATGTTGAAAGCATTAAATGTAGCCGGTGCTCTCCATACTATTTACTATAGTATAGAATATTTACCATAGCTACAATATTTGGAATGTAGTAGATAGACACTATTTATCTTCTCCCCTTTTCTTTGTATAAGAGATATAATCCTATCAATAAACTCACTTCTTGTGTGTATGTGTGTGTTTATATATGTGTGCATATTACTTCTAGCTACTCTTGTCTCTCTTTCTCTAAAACATTCTCAACATGTTATTAGGACAATTATTCTTATATTCTAGTCTTAGTTCTTAAAAACTTATGTACATTTTTTCCTTCATTTTCTCCTAATTTTTTTTTCTCCTTCTTGTATTGCTATTGTTATGTTGTTGTTATTGTTGCTGATGCTGCTCTTCTTGTGTTGTTGTTGTTGTTGTTGTATTGCTGTTGCTGCCAGATTGCCATCAATTGTCGCCAACTATAGCACCTTATCGCTAACTACCACTAACTGCAGTCACCTATCGTATTCTACTACTGTCTATCGTTGATTAACGCAACTTGCTACCAAACTATCACATCTTGCCGCAGCCTGCCGCCATACTACCGCACCCTGTCACACCCTACCACAATCTACTACAGAACCTTATTTTTGTGAAGAAAAAAAAAATCCTATTTTTTATTTTTTAATATTTTTGATTTCAAGTTTCAACTTTATCATTTTACTTGGCTTTGCATATTAAGGTACATTTTACTCAACTTTTTTTACTTGAACTTGTATTTTTTGTTCATATATTTATTTATAATAAGTGCTTCAGCATCCTCAACTGTCTCTACTATGTTTCCAACTATCACCTTTACATCCCAATATTTTCAAGCTTTTCTATTTCCACTATTAGCTACTAATAGAAATAATTATCTATTATGGATAAAAATAGCAAAAGCAAATTTATTTGTAAAACAACTATTAAATGTAATTTTATTTTAAGAATCTCTTACTGTAAGTACTTTAATTCCTATTGCTTTTCATTGGATAATACTTCTTTTCCTTTGTCGACATCTTGTATCCATATTACAATATCAATATTTAGAAATGGAAGATTCAGCCAAGCTCTAGGAGAATCTTAAATCCAGATTTGATCATCAAAAGACCATTTTTCTTCCACATGTCTGTCATAATTGGACACATTTATGTATCTTGGATTTTCCAAATTTAAATGCTTTCAATAGTGGAATGTATCATATTATCTCACAACTATTTTTGTGTGGACAAAGCATCTTTCAAGAAGAAATGATTGAAAAAACTCTCTCTACATTTCTTCCTGCATCTATTGTGCTTGCACAATAATATAAGAATATGAAATTTCAGAGTCATCTTGATGTCATGTCCTATCTACTTCTTGTGGAAAAACAAAACAAACTACGCTTGTGTAATGTACTAGCTTCTCCTATTGGAACCACGGTTCCAGAATCTCATGTACTTAATATTCCAAAGTCTAAGAAATAATTATACAAATATAGAAAAAATACTTATAAGTACTAACTTAGTCATAGTCGTGACCATTTCTACCCAAATGGAAAGAATAAACGTTCTACAATTAATTATAGTAGAAAAAAAAATTAAAGATGTGTTCTTACTATAAATGTGGAATGATTGGACATTTAGCACATACATGCCATACTTTAAAATACTTTGTTAAAATGTTCTAAGAAAATAAGAAACTTCAAGCTAAAGCTTGTGAAGTTTATATCATGGATGCATCCATGGATTCAATTGGTGTTGATGATTTAGAGACTTATATAAATGACAAAACCTCTAGTGATAAATTAAATGATGACTTCATTGATTTTGCAACAATACATACTATTCTATAAGATAGACAATTTTTTATTGAAAAATCTTCAACTTCGCAAATTAAAAATTTGATAACTATAGCTAGAACAAATGTATTTCATTTCCAAGTAAGAACAGTAATAGTAAAATTGCATGCAAGCTCTATTATAAAATATAAACATGCAATGTTTGTACCCTCAACACCTCGGAGACTAATCAACTATAGAGATATGCGTGCCAATGACTATCACATCTCAAATGCAATTCTAGATAGGTGGGAGGTTTTGGTTCTTGAATAAAACCATAAAGTTGTAGTAAAAGCCTTTGCTGTGACAAATGGTTTATATCAGATTGCAATGTGGCCTCCTATTATATTTAATTTTGCATCATCTATGACAGAGAGTCCCATTTCTCTTTGGCATGAATAATTGGAACATCCAAAATCTACATTATTTTGGAAGATAATTCCATGTATAACTAGGCATAATTTAAGACCTATAGATATAGATTCTATGAAATTATATCATACATGTGTGCAAGGCAAGGTGATTGCTCAGCCTTCAATTTCAAAACTCCTACAAGAATTACTACCAATACTTGAAATGTTGTATGGTGATATTTGTCATCCTATTAATCTAATATTTGGACTATTTTGTTATTTTTTTTATCCTTGTTGATGCATCAGGCAAACAATGACATGTTTAATTATTATCATCTTGAAACATGGTATTTGGTAATCTTATGTCTATGCTTATTAATTTTTGAGCTTATTTTCTTGATTATCCTATCAAAAAATTGAGTATAGATAATACAAAAGAATTTACATCAAAGTCCTTTGAAGACTATTGTACTGCAATAGGGATTGAGTTGACATATTATGATCCATATGAACATGCTTAAAATGGACTTGTAGAGTTATTTATAAAGCATATATAACTCATTACCTAGCCACTCCTTCTTCATACAAATTTACATGCATCTATGTGAGGTCATGCAATTTTGCATGTTGTAACATTAATATGCTTTTGTCCTTCTTTTCTTGAAACTATTACACCACAAGAACTTATTTCAGGTCGTGTTCTAAATGTATCTCATCTACGGATATTTGGTTGCTGTATTTGGGTTTCAGTACCAAAACCTCAATGGCATACCATTGGAGCTCATCAATGAGAAGGTTATATATTGGTTTTGATTCACCAAGCATTATTTATATATTTGATCCATCAACTGACATATTATTATGTGCATATTTTTAAAATTACTATTTTGAAGAGAACGTATTCTCATCTCTTTAAAGAGGAGTATTTAATCAATAAAGAAATACTTGTATTTGAAGTACCAAAAAAATTTATAATGAATCCTGATCTTTGAACATCTTTGGCTGAAAGTGAAGTTGCCAAGATTTTGTATCTAAAACGGATTGCAAATGAAACACCTGATAGCTTCAATGATACACCTCGGATTACAAGAGTTCCAATTAATGAGGCTCAAAATAAATCCACCTAGATTGTAATATGAATAACAAATATACTTCAAGTAAAACATCAGCAATTAAAAAGACTTGAGGATCAAATAAGCAAACATGAAAGAAAAAAGCTATAACATATAATGATTTTGATATTATTTCTATTGAAGTTCTTACTAAACCTATGAGACCATCAATTAATGACAATATGTCTATACACATTATACCTTTACTTCATATAATAGAAAATCTTGAAATTAGGAGGAATAAAACTAAGTTGAGTATAGAATTATCTGTTATATATTATATTATAAAAAACTTTTGGAATAGACCATCTATTATAATAGATGAATCATTTGCATTCATAATAATAGAAATTCTTTCTTTTGAAAAAAAAAATCCTAAACCTCAAATCATTTAAGAAGCAATGTGTTGCTCTGATTGATTAAAATAGAAAACTACCATCAAAGAGGAGTATGCTTCTTTGCATAAGAAGAAAGTCTTTGGTCGAATTGTAGACACTCTTACTTCTTGCCATGTGGGATATAAGATGGTATTAGTACACAAGTAAGATGCTAAGGGTCAAATAATCTACTATAAAGCTCGACTTGTTGCTCAAGGATTTATCCAATGATTTGGCATTGATTATGAATCTACATATTTTTCAATCATATATTCAATTAGACTCTAATATATTATTAGAATGGTAGTTCATACCCCCTTGAGATGCGTCTCATGGATGTAGTAACTACATATTTGTATGGTTCACTTGATGCAAATATTTATATGAAATTTCCATCTAATTTGAAAACAAGAACTCCAAATGCACCTGCTTTAGGATGATATTGTGATAT